AGAGAGAGAGAGAGGGGAGGAGAGAGAGAGAGGGGAGGAGAAAGAGAGAGGGGAGGAGAGAGCAGAGAAAAGGAAAACAAGACATATAAACTGCATCTTCTTACCATGCAGGCGACGCATAATAAATCACTAGAATTCAGTAAGCGTACTAGTCACACACTGGAAGACTTTTTGGATGAATAAAATATTTTGGATAGATTTTGGATGGACTGGGTCAGGGTTAGAACCGACAGAGGTTCTAACCCTGAACTTGTCCCAATACTTAAAACAGAAAAATCTTTTTGCCAGCTGCCCCTGCTGGAAAATTTCTGCTTACTTCCTGTATTAGTGACCACTGAGGAAGAGAAGGAAATTTCCCCAACAGGGAGACTGGCAGAAAAATGAAGTCTGTGGCAGTGTTGGATCTCCAACAACCGCGCAATCCTTTTAGAACTAAAATTATTTCCCTCTTGATAAGCCAACACCAGGCGGGTCTAGAAGCAGCTTCTGCTCTCATTTCCACATGTGCATTAGACCGGTCATGCATGCTTACGGAGCTGGCAGACAAGTTTGAGGGTATCCAGATCTACCAGCATGGTCAATTCACCTCGTGTGGCATTGGGATCCGGCTGAAGTGATTGGCTGCGGGTGCACCAGCCCTCCAGGACCCAACTTCTCCCCTCCAGCCATAAAAATCGCACTAGCCTACACATTCCTGTATTATTTTACCAAATTGCAACAAGCTTTATCGATGTCAGATAGAAATGCTCTACTGTGTCAGATGCAACGCCAGCAGGTGACGCATTTCACCCATTCCTAGGACTAAACCCATGGGGTGAAATGTATAAGTGGGTGGAGTCATATCGGATGGTGGAGAGAATGTCTGTCCTGAAACGGTATCAATAAAGCTTGCTGTGGTTCAGCACAAAAAAAAAAATACGGCGGAGTCCAGCTTCTGTGTTTGTTCAGCTTCAGGCGACAAACTCTGAGCATTTTTCGGGACTGCTATCTGGCGGCACAACTGCACACGAAAAATAAAAAAAACAAAAATATACTAATAAAACTATCAAAAAGGCCACCTTGACCTTTGACCTTTTCCTGAAATGAATGACATTGCCGAGGAGGTGGTAGAAGATACTTACGAAACGCGTACAGAATTTCAGATTTAATTGTTAAAGAAAATGGATACAAAATCACCACATTTGTTTCTTTTTTTTGCAACAGGAAATCAAGATTTGACGTCCGAGGAAACCAAACCCCGCCCATTGCTCACCAGAGCAATCTCTCCCGCAATGCAATTGCTGGCAAGCAATCACCTTACCTTCTCCCATCCCCTGCTGCCTCCTACTCCCGCGGTCTGCTCTCAATGATCTGGATTCGTCGCTGCTCCCTGCCGACG